TAGTAGAGAGAGAGAGAGAGAGAGAGAGAGTATTCTTTAGCATTACAAGAAACAGGCGTGGTATGCTTTAAATTTTTGAAGATCGGTCAGGAAAAGAAGCAAAATAATGGGCAATGCTCAATCCCCTCCCTCTGACCCTCTCTTCCTTTCTGCTTCCAGGTTGAAACACATTCTCTTCACTCTCTCTGTCTCTCTCTCTTATCAATTGTTCCAGGGTTGTGAATCTCACTCTACAATAGCAAATCCGTTCTCTCTCTAAGAGTAACCAATTTTCCCTTGCTTTTTCGGATTATGCTAAATCTCACCATGCTTTAAAGTGCTCTAATTGACCAACGTTCACAGGATTTTGCAGTTTATGCCAAATCTCACCATGCTCTGTGTTTAATTCAGGAGTTTTACTCAGAAAGAGCTTGAAGATCTCAACTCCCTCTTTCGTTCCTTGGCTGAACAGTCTGGTAGTGGTGGCAAGTTCATCACACTCCCTGTTTTCCAGGTTGGAAATTTACTGCTAATTCAGATATGTTTTGTTTTCAAGTGTAAACTTTTGCTCTTGTTTTCGAAGCAGAATGCTGCACCGAGATTTTAACTTTTGCTTGTACTTCTGTGTAATTTGATTGATTGGATATAAAGAGGAAGTCCAACATTCGAAAAAATTATAAAGAGATGAGTCCGTGTTGGGATAAGTTAACTTTGGGTGATCATTCAGGCCTAAAATTCATTTGAAATATTGACTGCTACTCAATCTAGGTATTGGTTGAGCCAGAATTGCCTTCTTTTCATCATTTGCCGTGGAAAATCACAATTATCTCTCATTTTTTATATGATTATCTCATTCAAGGTTGATTCCAATGAATCCCATAATGTTGAAAAATATGCACAGAAGCCTTATTAGTTGATGGGCCTGATGTATGGCGCAGGCAAAATTGGGGTGAAAAGAGAACTTGTATTTCAATAATTCTTTCGCCTCAGTGGACTGCTTACACACTCTCTTTCTTTCCCACTACAAATTTTTCTTTATGTAACTAGGCACAATGGCCTCTCTCGCTCATGCCCTTATCTCTTTTGTATCCCTCTAAAAGTTTTTTTTTTATGTAACTAAGAACAGTGGCCTCTCTCACGCATGCCCTTTTCTCTCAACAAGGGACGTAGGTCTCCCTTCTATTTTCTCTCTCTAACTCTCACCAATTGCCTCACGTTACAACTCTCTGCCTCGTTTGTTACCCACCACTACCTATTTATAGAACTTAAAGTGTTTTCCTTATCTTAGTAGAAATAGGTAGACCTCGTCCTCTCTGCACCCCTATGGATATATTCCAACACAAGTACATGGGTCATCTCAAAGCACATGTGCACTGGTTCTTCCAAACTCGGATAATGGATTTGGAAGAATGGCTTCCCATGCGAACGTTAGTGTACATACCATGGAATGGTATTGTGTTAGGATGTGGACTTATGTCCCATAAGTCATGACCATCCCATATAGGATTGTTACTCATAAAAATACTCGGGTTCTATTGTACCAGATTGGATACTCCAAGCCCTGGCTGATCACAACAATCATGAGGCTAATATAAACAAGATCCTTACTAGGAGATGACCCTGACACCTCCTTGAGAAATTGCTTTCTCGAACGTAAAACTCTCATAGCCTCAACTACTCGGGGTATAAGAATCTGGGCCCCGTTTCGCAAAGCGCCCAGATTCTATCTCTCAATCACTCTCACTGAATGAGAGACTATTGGTATTCAGACTTTGAAAGGCCATATACCCAACATTCTCCCACTTGGCCTTTGAGGCATAAATCCGATCATACTCTCATTATCATTCACAAATTAACAATTTAAGCATTGATTCTCAACCATAAAAGTAATACTCATATCAAGCAAGGAGTAAGTATAAATAACCAAGTTCACTTTCTCATTCTCTCATCATGCATATGCACTTTCTGTTTTGGACGGGGCTTTGTTAGTCACTTATTGTTCTTTATTCTGAGACCATTGTCATGGACTACTGTTACCTTGACTTTTGGTTTCTAAAAGATGATCTCACATATTTGAATATTTATGTTAGGCATATTTCAGTGTTCTTGGGCCTCTAGGATCAAGATTGTTTCATTTGGTCACTCAGAAGAGAAATGATCAACAACTAACATTTGAGGATCTTATAATTGCAAAAGTAAGTACTGCCGAAGAAGCCTTTTGTTCCTTTTCTGTTTAGTATTTGCATATGCAATTGTGATGATGTTTATCATGTTTCCACATATCCAATAGAAACCATAACTTAGAAAATTGTCTTTCCATTGTTTAGAAATTCACAATGTGACCATTTGAACTTCTTAGTTGTGTCTAATGCTCATTAATTAATTTATTATTCTTTTAAATCTTTGATATTAACTTTTGTTAATTAGACATGAAGACAAGTGTTGGACATGACATGGTACTTCCAACTTGGTGATATCCTAGCTATCCCACTTCCCAAAGCTGGACCTTGGCTGGATCTGACTCCCATATGAGGGGAACACGTTCCCAATCCCTTAGGGATTGGTTGATATAAATCACACTCATGTTAAATAGATCTTTTACAAGGAAGTAAGTCTTAAATGCATATCCACTAAGAAAAGAAAGTAATCATGTTGCAAACTCATGTTCTATATATTTCTAAAGAGAAGGGATGCTTTTACCAGATGGTCTCGGACCCTTAGGATATATCATTGGGATCCAGCTCCCTAGCATGTCGATGTCAAGATCCTTAAAATTCAGGGTGTATGGACAATGATCCTGAGCATTGACCTTTTAACCCATAACAATCCCATGGTTCCGTTCTTGCTTCCACACTCAATTCTAACAATTATGCATGGATGTGTAAACAAGACCTGAAATTATTATAAAATTGGACATTGGGAAATGATTTCTCAAAAAAGAAAAGAACAATGGAACATATATACACTAAAAAAATATATTATTAAAAAAATATAATTTGGATATGAATCATTATCTTTATAGTTTTGGAGAGAAAACTAGTGGAGAGACAAGTGAGTTTTCAACAACAATAAGCCTACATGAGGGGTTAGCTTTGAGCCCATGTCGCTTTGTTTTTTGTTATGGATGAGTTAACTAGGCACCTTTAGGATGAGATATCGTGATCTATGTTGCTCGCGAATGACATAGTTTTGTTTGATGAGACTAAAAGTTGCGTCAATGCAAAGTTAGAACTTTGGAGGGATGTTGTAGCATCTAAAGGTTTTAAATTAGCAGACTAAGACAAGATTTATTGAATGTAAGTTTAGTAAATACTAGGAGTAGAAATGAGGGAGTAGTTAGTATTGGCGGCCAAGAAATATCAAAAAGAGATTATTTTTGATATCTTGGGTTGATAATTTAGGAGAATGGAGGGATTGAGGTCAATGTCATGAATAGAATTAGAGTTGGGTGGACAAAGTGGGGATGTGCATCCGGAGTTTTATATGATCACTGCATACCTATGAAACTGAAGGGAAAGTTCTATAGGACGGCTATAAGACCAGTCATGCTTTATGGGACGGAATGTTGGGCAGTCAAGAAATAACATATCCATAGGATGCGTGTAACAGAGATGAGGATGTTGAGATGGATGAGTGGCAAGACAAGAAAAGACAAAATTCATAATGAATGCATATGAGGGAACTTAGGGTTGATCCAATATGTGATAAGATGAGGGCAAGTGGACTTAGGTGGGCTAGTCATTTACAGCGTAGAACTGGTTAGGAGGGGCGATTTGATTTAAGTGGAAGGATCTAAAAGGGCTAGGGGAACAAAAGGACATGATGAAACTAGTGAGAAGAAATATGGTGATTTGTTGTCTGATTGAGGGTATAGTTGATAGAGCAGAATGGTGTAACAGGATTCGTGTAGCCGACTCCTAATAGTTGGGATAAGATTCAGATGATGATGATCTTATAGTTGATTTTGGCAAATAAATCTCGTGTCATGGATGATAGATTAGCGGGTATGCAAAGAGCATTTCAGTGAGTTAGGATGGCCATGTAGCATAGGGAGGGAAATAGGTACCCTAGGAGAAAATATAAACAACACATCATGCATGTGTTTGTACATTCCAAATGAAGATCCACTGCACATTCTGAAGATTGGTAGTGGAGATGAAGTGTACCTCGTCCTTAATGTCTGTTATATTTGAACTATGGTTCATCTCCATTTTCCATCTTAGGAATCAATTTTTTGACTGGACTTGAACAACATAGAAGAGTTTAATGTTTCCACTTCTTGAAGAATTTAGTGAATGTTGGGCACGTGTAATGTAGTGTGTTTTTTATATCTCCCATAACAAATTTTCTTTCTCAATTTGTGATTATAGGGAACTTATGAGAAAGGAAGTCGAGAAGAAGTTGAAGAGTTCATAAATCAGTTGGTAGATGTAAACGGGGATGGCATCTTAGACAGGTATTTTGGCAGTCCATCATCTATTTTCAGGGCCTTTTAAATGAAGCCAGCTCCCTAGACTGGGGTGAAGCAGTTTTTTTTCCTCCATTCTCCTTTTCACAGTGAAAGATTGGAGCTCCTCCCCTTTCATATTTTAGAACATATTGCTTGGATAGCAGGCTTCAAAGGAAGGGTTTCTGCTTGCCTTCTGTCTCTCTTGCATCTATACAATACTAGCATGATGATTGATGTTTTTTATCTTTTTTTTATGTGAATGCCCTTTTGTATTGAACAGAATTGGCCTTCAGGTCTGATTTGGAGGTCGTTTTGAAGTCGACGCTTGAAGCTGTTTTTACCCCAAAAGCGGCAGAAGCAGTTAATAACTTGGATTATAGCATCATAGAAGTATTTCTCCATGCTGCAAAATTTTCAAAGGAAGGCAGTAGTATGTCGTATGAGGATTTCAAAAATTGGTGCAATCTTATCCCATCAGTGAGGAAGTTTCTTGGTAACTTGTTGTTACCGCTCGATCCAGGTATTTTGATTTCTATCCTCCATTATTAAGCATCAGGGGTGATGTCTATTGCTTTCATCAAGCAACAGTATTTCATGCTAGGATAGTTTGGGTAAAATTGTCTTGCTAGGAGCCTATATTTTGATGAATGGTTTATTACTTGTTAAAAATATGTTATAGGTTTCAATAACCTGTGGTAAGTATTTCTTGATTCTTTGCAAAAGATCATCCTTTATTTCTTCCTCAAATAAATGAGCCTCTCTGCAAGATCTTTTCTTTTTCTTTGCTCTTTTTTTTTTCTTGACTAAATCCTTCGATTATGCAGGAAGTGGTGGTTGCCACCTTCCACAACTGTTGTGCCCTGAAGATTTTAGTCCGGACTTGCTTGTTTTAAGGAAAGAGTATGCATGGCATATAAGTGGTGCTCTTTCCCAGAAGGAGACAGAGGAATGGAGGCTTCTATATCACAGCAGTGTGCATGGACTGAGCTTCAATACTTTCTTGGGGAATCTGCAGTGAGTTTCTTCTCAATGACTTTTCAGTTTATGGACAGAATCTGTTGAACTTTTTAAGTGTTATGTTTCTTTAGGACAAGAGAGCTGAATCTAGTAGGAATTACTAAAGGAAAAGGATTGAGCACTCTTTCACATGACATACTTTTGACTATGAATTCATCACTGCTTGGTGAAGCTATCTCTAAAACTCTTTCAATGGCGTGGTGTATGATTCATGTGACTGCTTGGTTAGACTATATTTTTACGTGTTATTTTTTGGCTTCAAGGAGACGTTAAATTCTGCCAGAATGGAAGTATCAACTACGCTCATGCACGAAATGGATGGTGGGGCGGGGTTCACAATGCACTTTATTTGTCCTCAATCACCACTAATTTCAAGCGTCATTGTCAAGATTCAAGTTTGCTTCAATTCAGGCCAGAAGGCTGAAGCCTTTGTGTTTTCAATCACATGAAGCATCTTTCGTTGTTTTATGATCTTATTCTATGATATGGCCTCTTCCCCTGAATGCTACACAAGCTTTAATTTTTTGAAAGATTTTTCACATTAGATTAACTGATGGCCTTTATGTGTTGAAAGATTTTAAGGCAATAAAGGGAGGCAAAGCCCAAATCCTTTAAGCTGGCCATATAAAACTTGGGTAATCCACTCTAGATTCACAACAAGTTGGTCTTCTAAGATTTAATCAAAAGGTCAACTTATATGTCATCATCATCATTATCATAGCGTTTTTCCAATTAATTGGGGTCGGCTACATGAATCTTGGTCTGCCATTCTACTCTATTAAAGGCCATACCCTCAGTGAGGCTGTAAGTTCCCATATCTTTTCTGACTACTTCCAACCACGTCCTTTTGGACCTATTTCTTACCCTTTTTAGTCCTTCTACTTCAACTAATTCGCACCTCCTAACAGGTGTTGTACTTGGTCGACGCCACACATGGCCAGCTCACCTAAGTCTACTCTCTTTCATCTTATCGCCTATTGGTGCCACACCTAAATTCTCCCGAATGGATTCATTTCAAATTCTATCCCTTCTTGTCTTGCTACTCATCCATCTCAACGTCCTCAACTTTGCTACACTCATTCTATGGGTATATTGCTTTTTGTCCACCCAACATTCCGCCCCATAGAGCAACGCTTGTCTCACAACTGTCCTATAGAACTTGCCCTTCAGCTTCATTGGCATGCGGCGATCACATAAAATTCCAGTTGCATATTTCTACTTTGCCCACCTAGCTCTAATCTGTGTGTGACATATTTATCAATCTCTCTATTTTCCTGGATTATCGACCAAAGATATCGAAAGTGCTGTCTTTTTTGTATTTCTTGGCTGTCAATCTTAACTACTTCCTCGTCACTACTACTATTATTATTAAACTTGCATTCCATATACTCTGTCTTAGTCTGGTGACTTTTAAAACCCTTGGATTCTAGAGCATCCCTCCAAAGCTCTAACTTTGTGTTGATGTCATTTTGTGTCTCATCGATCAAAACTGTCATTTGCGAACATGCACCAAAGTTCCTTTTCCTGTAGGTGTCTAGTTAAGTCGTCCATAACTAAGACAAAGAGGTACGGGCTCAGTGTGGACCCTTGATGTAGACCTATTGCCATTGAAAATTCACTCTTCTCTTCATTAGTTGTTTGTACACTAGTTAGCACTCCATCGTACATATCTCTCACCAAGTCCATGTAGTGTATGGAGACCAGTGTTTTAAAATACGGCTGCATCGCTGCATATGTGGCCGCATCATGCGGGATGCGCTTACATCCGCATCGCAAACTGGCGCATATGCGCTTTTGACAGATGCGGCCGCATATGCGCCGCATCAGGCCGCATCATGGTCACATCCCGCATCGCATCGCATTAGACCGCATCGGGCCGCAATTGTTTCCTCGAAAAAATTTTCTATTTTGCCCCTCAAGGAGGGGCAAAATGGTCTTTTTGTAGTTCCAAAGTTTAGGGAAACTGTTTGGGGTGTTATTATAACCCCTAAACGAAGATTTCCAGCCATTTTTGTGGCTTTTTTTGCATCAAATCGAAGGAAAAAGAAATTTGGCAAAAACTTTTTTTTCATCCAAATCTTCGATTTGGCGGTTGTTTAATACTTGGATGTTCATTTGATGCATTTGATAGTTGATTTGGGGATGTTAAGGTGAATTTGTGATAAGAAATTGAGGATTTCAGAGGCCGTGAAGAAATCGAACACTACTTCACAGAGTCGGTAAGTTTTTATTCCTTCTTGTACAATAATACTGTTATACTTATTTTTGGGGCAATGTCTTCTTCCCAATCTTCTGGTAACAAGGATCCGGCTTGGAAATATGCTAAACTAAAAAATTCGAAAGATAGAAATTGTGTGATATGCTTGCTCTCTAGAAATACTTATATGGGTGGTATTTTTCGACAAAAAGATCATTTAGCCAGAATTTCTGGGAATGTAAGAGCATGCCCACAACCTACAGATGATATAAAAAAGGAGATTAGAGAATATTTGGATAGATTGAAAAAAGATAAAGAGAAAATAAAGAAGAAAAGAAAGGACTTAGTTGATGATATGCAATTATTTGATGATGATGATGATGATGATGATATGTCTGAAGTTGCTATGAGGCAAAGGGGTGCTCATACTCCAACCTCAAGAGAGAGGGTTATAAATATAGGTGATAGTGCTGAGAGAAGAACACCTCTCTTTAAGGGGCCAATGGATTCTTTTTTCACCCCTTGCCCCGAAATTGTGGTTCAGGAGAGAAAGAAAAAAACAAAACAAACCACAATTGACAATAAATATAAGAAAGAACAAAGGAAGTCGGTATGTAAGTGGATTGCAAAGTGGATTTACATGGCCGGCATTCCTTTTAATACTATAACTCTGGATAGTTTTGCATGTATGGTCCAAGCAATTAGGCAATATGGCCCAGGACTTATTCCTCCTTCACTATATGAGGTTAGGGAGCCCTTGTTGAAGGTTGCTGTATTTGATGTGAATAAAATTTTGATTTCTCAGAGAGAAGGGTGGGATAAATATGGGGGCCACTATTATGTGTGATGGTTGGTCCGATGGGAAATCAAAGGCATTCATTAATTTTTTGGTTAACTGCCCAATATGTACTTTTTTTGTTAAGTCTATTGATGCATCAGACAAGTCACATGATAGTACATACTTATCTGGCTTGATGGATGTGATTGTCGATTTTGTTGGGGAGCAAAATGTGTTGCAAATTATCATTGACAATGGTGCCAACTATGCTGCAGCTGGGCATTTCTTGACTTTGAAAAGGAAACATATGTTTTGGACTCCTTGTGCAGCTCACTGTGTTAATCTTATGCTTAAGAAAATGGGTACAACATCTTTATTTAGTGGGGTAATTTCGAGACCTATGTTTGTTGTTGGATTTATTTACAATCACACCATAGTCCTAAGCATGATGAGGTATTTTACAAAGAAGAGAGAATTAGTGAGACTGGGTATCACGAGATTTGCCACGTCATTTCTCACTCTTCGAAGCCTAGCCAAGCAAAAAAGTGCCTTGAGGACCATGTTTGCTTCAGAGCAATGGAGTCAAAGCAAATGGTCAAAGCATAAGGATGGGAGAAAGGCTGAAAAAATTATTCTGAATACATCTTTTTGGAGTCAAATAATTATTGCATTGGAGGTGGCTCGCCCTTTAGTGAGAGTGCTTCGACTGGTTGATGGTGATGCGAAGCCCGCCATGGGCTACATATATGACGCAATGACTAGGGCAAGAACTGAAATAAAAGATGTTTTAAAGGATGATGAAAATATGCGTAAGGCTATACTTGAAATTATTGATAGGAGATGGGATACCCAGCTTCATAGGCACCTCCATTCAACCGGTTATTTTCTAAACCCATCTCTTCACTACAAGCACCCATCCATTGAGTCAGATCGTGTAATAAATGGTGGGTTCTTAGATGTGTTGGAGAAGTTGGTGCCAGACAAAGATATCCAGGATGACATCCAGAGCCATGAATTGATTAAGTTCAAGTTAGTTTTGGGAAACTTTAGGAGAGATATTGCCACTCGAAATAGGGACACTATAGATCCAGGTAAAGGCCAAAAGCTCAAAAATAATCTTACTTGTCTCGTACTTTATGTATAGTTCCATTGTTTATTTTATACCTTTAATGTTTAACTATATTATAAATTATAAAATATTATACAGTTGCATGGTGGGCATTATATAGAAACGAGACACCAAATCTATAACGTGTCGCTATTCGAGTGTTGAATTTCACATGTAGCTCATCTGGTTGTGAGCGCAATTGGAGTGCATTTGAGCATGTAAGTCCTTTACTCCTTATTCGTTAATCTTTATTTCTTGAATTTAAATTTTCTAATCTAAAATCTAATTTATTTGATTTCAAATTTCTACCACAACTCCATACAAAAAAAAGAAATATGTTGGAGTAGAAAAAGTTGAATGATTTGGTTTATGTGCGGTATAACGAGCGACTTAAGGAGAGGTATGAAAATTGCACGAAGCTCAAACCTATTCAATTATATGAAGCTGATGGTGATTCCATAAGTGAGTGGACCATGGATCCAAGACAAGAGCGTGTGTTTGAGGGTGAGGATCTTACATGGCTTGATGTCGAGCTAGCAACAGGGGCTAATGAAGAAGATCGACCAACACTAGAGCACAAAGGAGTAGAAGAGCTTCAGAAGATCGACCAACACTAGACCAACACTAATGTCGCACTCGCACATTAGCTTCAGAGGTCGAGGAAGCTGACTTAGAGGAGACCGATGAAGAAGAATACATGGAGGCCGTCGAGGATGATATTGATGATGCGCATGACGACTCTCAAGATGACTTGTCTGATTGATATTAGAAAAAATGAAGTTCAAATTTCAAAATTGACTATCAAAATGGATGATTGTATTAACTTATTAGTTATTAACTATTAACTTTTCTTGAGCTTGACTTTTGATTTGTATTTTGTAATATCATTATTTTGTGCTTATGGTTGTACTTATGGTTGTTGATGGTCTTATGGTGCAAATTTGTGCCGATGGTTGTTGATTGTTGAATGCTTTATGAAGCTGGTTTCAAGTTTCTAGTTTCTATCAGGGGATGGTGGATAACTGGATGCAGAATCTCCGACAGCTAATAGTTTTGAAGTTAATCATTAAACTAAAATACCTACTATCACATATATCACCTTCATATTTTTTTCTATGCATTAACTTATTGTTTTCAATTTTTTAGAATTTTTTTACATTTATTGATCGCAGCATCGCGATGCACTCGCATCGGCCCCCCACCGCATCCGGGCTGCATCCCGCATTTTAAAACACTGTTGGAAACTTATTTCTTTTCCAGCACGCACCAAATCAAATCTCGAGGTACTTTATCGTAAGCTTTTTCTAGATCAATAAAGATCATATGGGGGTCTTTTCCCAACACTCTAAACTTCTCAATCGTTTGCCTAAGTAGGAAAATAGCCTCAGCTGTTTATCTTCTTGGCATAAAACCAAATTGGTTTTCAGATACACTTGTTTCATGCCATAGTCGTTGCTCAATCACTCTCTCGCAGAGCTTCATGTTATGGCTCATAAGCATGATCCCTCGATAGTTCGCGCAATTATGTGTCTCCTTTGTTCTTGTAAATAGGTACCACAATACTTTTCCTCTATTTGCCTGGCATTTTCTTTGTTCTCAACGCCTTGTTGAATAGCTTCGTCAGCCAGTCAATGCCAATCTCCCCCATGCACTTCGAAACCTCTAGCTCATGGGAATGGCCACTTCGTCAGCCAGTCAAAAGGTCAACTTATATGTACCATAGCTTATGGGAATGGCCACTTCGTCAGCCAGTCAAAAGGTCAACTTATATGTACCATAGCTTATGGGAATGGCCACTTTTATGGTAATACATAATAATGAAAAAGGAAGAATCTTTTTGATAAAGCAAAAAATGAGAATCACTTATGGTGTCTAGGCAAATAATATGTTTAAACTCTTGTTCAGAAATGCAGAGGGGCCAACTATTATGCTCATCAAGGATAAAGAAGGTTTCATCTATGGAGGTTATGCTTCTTTGCCATGGGAGAGACATAGTGATTTTTATGGTGATATGAAGTCTTTTCTCTTCAGTTTATATCCACATGCTGCTATATTTCGACCTACAGGATCAAATGGTAATTTGCAATGGGTAAGTATTGTATTGAATAGTGTTTCTCATCTGTTTTTGTATTTTTTTGTGTATGTTGTGTATATCTGTATGTATTGGTTCCTTGGTCAGCAAAAGTGAAAAACTCCAAATCTTGAAACATTGACCTTCATAAGAACTGGTTGTCTCACTTGATGGATCGAAGGCCCAAGAATGGCTTATTAGTAATAATCAATGACAGGGTGTCTTGTTTTTTTTTGGAATGCGCACGTGTGTTTGTTGAACTTCACTAAATAAATACTCTTCTACTAGTTGAAATCCTTTCAAGACAACAAGAATTACTAGGGTGAAACAAAATAAAATAATAGATTCGTGAATTTATAGTTCAAGCTTTGAATATTATTTGGTGGTGTACAAATTGAGTAGCATTGATTCCCAAGCTATTATGTAGTATATATTATGAAATGTGGAAGACCACTGATATAATATCCTATTTCCTTGAGATGGTTAGTGTGCAGTGAATTTTACTTCGGAGAGCATTCCAAATGGCCTTGGTTTCGGGGGGAGAGCGAATCATTTTGGACTCTTCATCTCCGCAAGCTTTGATCATGGCCACACTTTCACTTGCAGCACCTTTGATAATCCCTGCCTTTCAAAGCAAGATAAGATCTACCCTGAAATAATAGAGTGCTGGGGTGTAATGGAGAAAGGAGGGGAACAAGAGAAGTTTGATTCAGTTAAAGGAACCATTCTTGAGAGGTTCAAAGAAGATCGAAATATGCTGAATATGGTTGGGCTTGCAAATGCTAGTGAATGAATGTGTTCTGATCTTCCTTAAGGGCCTGGTATCTCGTGGATGTGTAATATGGAATGGGAAATTGTTTGTGCATGAAATTGTTTGTGCATCAGGGGATGCAATTCTACGTAAGCATCCCCTGACACGTTAAACATCAATTTCAAAAATGGATTTAGAAAAGTGGTGGTCCCATCAAAGTTTGGAATCGACAGTGAAAAAGTATACATTAAATAATTATTTTTATTTTTAGAATCATCTTTTTTTATTTTCATGTTCTAGTATAGATTCTCAGCCCCTAAAGTTTTGGATCCAAAATCCATCTCTAAGATGAATTCTATAGGAATACAATAAATAGAGGAGTCAGTTGACTCGTCAAAATGTCGTCCGATAGGAAAAGTACTATAGACGAAGGTTTAAAAAATAGATCGGTGACCCGGATTGGCCATCCCAAAATCCATGTCGGATCGGTGGATTGGTGATCCAGTTTGGAGAAACGTCTTCAAAAGATTTCAAAACTATCATGAAAAATCTTTAAAAATAATGTTTTTGAGTCTTCAAAAAAAAATGAGGGGTGATGCATTATGTAATTTCATTATTTTACAAAAATATGGGAAGGGGCATTCTGTGTGACACACTGGTTTCATTTTCAATGAAAATGACAAACCCTCTTTTCCCCCTTCAAGTCTATGAGCAAGTTAAGCAGGGGTTTCCTTCTCGACCAAAATGATATATACCTATTCTTACTCAACTGAAATGGCAGAAATCATCTCACTCACTCTGAGGCAAGTATCCATCTAACGTTCTTGCACGAGTTTGCACAAGTACACTGATTGCTGAACCAAAATACCAATCCACCATCGCTCACACTAAAACTGTGCTTACCCAATTTAGTGGTCCTCCTCACCTAATTTGTTATCCAATTCGTCAAACATTATTAATTCTCTCTACTCATCTAAAAGTATGGCAACATAACCAAAAAATTGAATTATTAATTTATGTTTTGCAATTATACTATACAAATATGAATAAATTTAAACTGCCTAATAATATCATCTAATTTTTTTTAAAAAACTTAGTTACAATTACAACAAAAAATAATTCATTACAGAATTTATGATATAAAAATAATAATAAATAAAATACAAGATTGGTTATTAATATATAATATAATATAATATTATATTATTGCATCCAACATGTAACAAAAAATGTTAAAAACACTTCCACATTAGAAAAAAAAACCCTAAATTTTTTTGATACTATGACATATAAAGAAAATGTATGCAAAAAAAAAAAAACATTTTTTTCCTAAAAAATGAAAAATAATGACATAAAATTCGAGAAAATAAATAAAAAAATTGAATCACACACCATATTCATCAATAACCTAAATGCATTAAAAGCCCTAATTTTCTTCAAAAAATATTAATTTTTTTAAAAATTAATTTCTCAAGATCCCAAAAAACCGGTCCGTATTTTGGCCCAAAATCCATGCTCTCTGGTTCGATTTGTAACCAAATGTCTTAAAATTTGGTTCTATTTGTAGAGAATTAACTTCTACACAGTATTCCACTGCAAATTTGTTCGATTAAACTAGGATCCCCATCGATTTGCTTCCAAAGCCAAGAAATGGACACGCTCTTGAAATTTTAACAGTCAACTAAACTTGAAGAAATAAGTGTGGATTTGGGTTGATTTGGACCAAAATTTAATGGAGTTTGTGATATACAGAGCTTTAGTTCTGATATAAACCAGGTAAGTTTCATCTTCATTTATTTTATGTTATCTACAAGTTCTTTTTTGCATGAATGCAGTACAGATTAGGGTTCCACCATTTCAAACTATTCTCCCTCAAATTTTTACCAAATTTCTTGAAATGTGATTCAAAGTGATCGTATTGAACCTGTCTTCCATATTATAGATCCAATACAATGTATAGAAATCGAAAAAATCGATAGGAAGATGGATTTCTACATAAGTTTTAGATCTAGATAAGGCGATTATGATCCGGATCAGTAATTTTTTAAACTCATAGACTATGGTACTTGTTCGGCGCCTTTCTTAGTTCTAAGCTTGCAGCTTAACTCAAGAGCAAGGTAACGCGCGTTGTTTTGTTCATTAGCTAGGGCTTTGCGTGCTCATGTCCCTCTCTTCTCTCCAGCTAATTTCTATCTAGCTAGCTGTGCTGTTTGCTTCTCCTCTTTCACTTCTGACTTTTCAATTTCCATTCCTCGTTCAAAAGACGCTTCTTATTATACATCGTTTGCTCAATTCCATTTCCCTTTCTTGTTAGAAAGATAAAGTCATTTGGCACACCTACATGGATTAGATGTCCGGATAAACCCCCCGACCTAGGAAGTATTTCGACTTCACTCACCTGATCAGCAGATGGGAAGCTTGAAATGGAGGATTAGAGCAAGAAAATGTATGCGCTATTGGGCAACGGCTTTCGCGCTAGCGCGCTCTTCCATTGCTTGCTCCTTCTTCCATAAAAGAAGACAAAACGGCTGCTGCAACTACAGGTGTAAGTGGCACGGGTGTTGTATGATGAACACTAAATTACCATAATCAAAAGGTAGAAAGCTACGGTTGAGTAGTGAGGTGGGGAAGTTATTCCATTCCAAATCAGAACAGAAAGAAGAACCCTCTCCCACGAGTGAATGGAGGTTTTAGTCATCAATAGATATGGGATAGGTTATCAAAATAAATAGGAGAGGTACATGCTACTTTATCTCTCGGGGTAGACCATAATCAAAGATAGACCCAATTCAACAGAGTATGAGTATGGCTGAGATTCCAAATCTTAAGAGATTGACAGAGTATAGGGGATATATTTTACATCTTAATAGCCCTGTGCTTTATTAGCGCAGTATTGGAGAAGGCAGGACCGAACAATATGACAGGGCAAGAGCTCCGCTTAGCTATGTAAGGAAGGCAATATTGCGCGTGCTAAGGCGCTCGTAAGCATCAAAACCCATGGTGTGAGAGGGAAGGATCATAGTCGGCGGCGGGCGGTGAGGAAAATAGTTCATATGATTTTTCCAAAGAATGATTCTCCAATCGTACATAATAGCCACCAAAACCGATTTTTAAAGCATCTGACCGGTAAGACGGTGAAGAAAGAATAACAACAGGGTTTTCAAACATTGAGAGGACACATGCTAAATGGTCTAACCACTTCATTTATTTTATTTTTTCTACGAGTTCTTTTTTGCATGAATGCAATACAGATTAGGGTTCCACCATTTCAAACTATTCTCCATCAAATTTGCATCGAATTTCTTGAAATGTGATTCAAAGTGATCGTCTTGAACCTATCTTCCATATTATAGATCCAATACAATGCATAGAAATTGAAAAAATCGATAGGAAGATGGATTTCTACATAAGTTTTAAATCTAGATTAGGCGATTATGATCCAGATTAATAAGTTTTTAAACTCATAGACTATGGTACTTGTACGGTCCACTATAAGGACATCCACATTTGGTTCTTGATCATTGGAGTTAGAGATTGCAGTTCCATATGATGGCTTTCCTTCCCCCTGTGATTGATATCTACCATCTGTTATTGGGAATGATTGGTGGATCCCCATGGTGTACCAATTACCCTCTACCATTGGTGTATGGTGCACATCCTAATGTAACATTCTTTGGACCTCGTATAACCACTTGGATTTGTCACGCGATTCGTTTTTAATACAGTCTGTATGTGAGTTTTTCGTTTTTCTACAGTTGTGCGAGATTGAAGTGCTTCCCTTGGGTGACATGAGTGATCAAATTCTTAATACATATAAATGGACATGCACAAACGTAGAGAGAGAGAGTGCAACAAAAGCATGGAGTAGCTGGTTCCCAAATGCCTCTAGTTGCAGGTTTTGAACTGTAGACCTACACTTTCATGGAGGCGACTCGAATGTTGATGAGTGCAAAATCCATGGCTTTGCCCACTTTTATATTAATGCTAAAACAAAGATGATAGAGATTATCGTGTACCCCGTTATGTCGTAAATTGTTTTTTTTGGACGTGGTTAGCATGCAGTCAGCGTGCATATTATAGAAATACGGGCTTGACAATAAATATATTTGTAAATATAATTTGATCCTAAATTTTAGAGAATGTATAATCTTTAATATGAACATCATGAATATGAGAATAAAAAACAAAAAATTGGAAGCTAGAAATAATAATCAAATTAAAAAAACATTTGGACTGTTAATTACAATTGTTTTTAGATGGACCATCTATTTGCATCCATCTTTAATATAGATGCGTTATACCTCTGGACCGCATATTGTAGAAATGCGGTCTAGCCCGCATGAAACAATTGTTTTTTTTTGTTTATAATAACAATACAAAGATTATATTAGTCAGAAGAAAGAGATAACGGGTTTGTCTACAAAGAGACCATTTATCTTTTGTACATGGAGGCCACAATTATTCTTGTCCCTTAAATTTTAATATGGGTAGTTGTAAGAGTGTTATTGAATAGATACGAAGTTTTAAAAGAAAATTTTGGACTTTGTAATTCACCCAAGCCATCCAATTTGATATCTTATGAGAGAATGATTATCACATCTATGTATAACAGATAAATAGTCTCTTCGTAAACAATCCCATAAAATATTATGTTGTAAACTTAAGGAGAGAGAGACTCGAAACTCTTGAATGTTGTGGAAGGAGATGGGTATTGAATTGAAATTGGCTTATGGTTTAATTGGTCATCATTTATTTGTCATTTTATGGCTTTTGGGTCATGAACCCTTTTTTTTTACAAAAAAAAATTTGACTGTTAAGTTTGGAAAAAGTTTATACAAGATTTCAAAGAAGTAAGGTTGCATTTATCCATACTAATTTTTTTTTAACGACCTATCTTATTTGGACTAGATTTGAGACTATTTTTAAAGGCAAATATCTTTCTAATATGGTTTAAAAAATATGCCATATCTAAAGTGTCGATTTATAATATTCGGTATAGACTATAAAAAATGTATCAAATCTATACTATCCAACTACAAATAAAATTGCTATCTT